GACCGTCACTCAGCATTTCCATATTGCTACGTCTATGTCTCTTCTGTGGGTGTACAAACATACAAATCGCCATACAAAACATGATACTACCCACTTAGATACTTAAGCAAGGCAGCAGTTTCTATTCATTCGAGCCTCTAGTGTCATGATGGCACGCAGAAGCGTGTTTAGGAGAGCTCCAACGAACATGATTGGAGAAAGAAGACGGTTTGTGCCCATAATTCTAAGAGTACAAATTCTTGGTGTATGAGAAGGAACAGGTAAATTGGTTATATTTCGATATCAAATTAGTCAAAGCGAAGCTACGGGGAGAAGCAGAGAGTAGAAAAACGGCGATGTGCTTGTTGATTGTTTCACTTCAATCACTTGTCCATAGTTTTTGGATTTCTTTCGACGAGAATCGTCACTATCACTATGATTCCACAGTTCTTGGTGTCATCTTTGCTTGCACCTTCTCCTCTTTACTGAAAAGGAGAGTTACTATAACAATTACTATTGTTCATATACTCGTGTGGCACAGATTTCAATGCAAAAGTATTTGGACTATCGAAAAGTTCAGAGTTTCAAAAAGATGATCGATTCCCGCCTAAGCGCCATATGGGACTCTGCTCAGGAATAGTAACTGTTTCGCAGCAACTTGAAAGTTGAGAGATTTTTCTTATTGACTGGCATTATTTTTTTAGCGGCGCAAAAGAGGTCGAGAGATCGAGAGGTCGAGAGTCAGTGAACAGATGCATTGGTCTATAAATCTTCGAATTCACTCACAAAATTCCTCGAATCTAATTTTGAAAAAGGATTAAGTGCTTGATATAGGCGTCGAGGCGGATTGAACTTGATTCGACTACTTATCTCGCAAACGTAGTTTCGACATTCACATTCATGAATACTTCTTTCGAAACAAACGGCGACACAGTTTGCTGTACGAAAAGAATCAGGTGTTCAGAGCTTTGAGTTTTAGATTTGATATTTTTGAGCTGCGGCAAAAATTTGTCACTGTTTGTTTCGTTCGACGTTTGTTACTTCTCTCATATCTCAGCATCTCCTGTTATGAGTATGTCCTTAGATACAGTTATATAATACTAATGAAGCATCCACCCAGTTACGGCTTGGCATTGGCAAGTCTAACACGAATCGCTCCTATTGAAGACATCCCAGTATGACGGTATTAACTTGGTCTTGGGTTCAATATGAAGACCTAGACCACTGGATATCATATTGAACTTGAGCTTCTTGGAAATAGGGGACACTTTACGATGAATAGATGCTATTGCATTAGTTAGTAAAAGAGGTAGGAATGGCTAAAGAGAAGTATTAGTAAATAGGTAATCTTGTCTTGTGCTCAGAGCGTTGAATTTCAATGGGCGTCCAGTCACAAGTGTGTGAGATATGATATTCAGTTCTTTCGCCCCAATACCTGCAAAACTAAGAAGCAACTGTACAAGCGTCGGGCCAGAGTGTGTCATTTGCCACTGCAGAGTAATACATGTATATGAGTAATGTAGATTCAAGCTACTCACCAGCAAACGAGAGGTGAGTCGGAATTCTTAAGTATTAAGAAGTCCAGCTGAACATCAACAGTCAAAGGTTCACTTGATCGAGGTATTCTATTGTCAGGAGATCATCATTCGTTGATTGGATGTTCCATTTTCATTATCACGTAATTGTTGTCACTACATCCTGCTCCATGGAGTGTCGTATACCAATTATTGTTGCCATCTATCTCTAGTCCTATCTATCTTATTCAATACAACACTCTGACAATTAATACACCCGTTTCATTCCAAATCATCTCTTTCCACTTATTCAAGCTTTCACTATAACATAAATCGTATCAAGAAGCTTCAGTTTCCTGCGGAGCAGACGCAACGCGGCAGGGTATTTGGAATAATGTCTCTGAAGCTTGTATGAACTAAAGATCTTTGTGAGAGAGGCTTCTTCTGCAAAATTCTTCTCTAACAGAGACCCTATGTTGATTGAATTATGTCAGGAGAGCCAAGGTATAAGTTCGTCCGCAGCGCTCTTGCGACGAAACATCTGGCTGATATTAATGTTCGCTTTTCAGCACACATTCTGCTAATCTTGTTTGGCTCGTTGTTTTAGAAACTTGTGTATAACTATACTCCATTAGAATTATACAACTATATCTCCCACGGGTGCCCCAATTACCTCATTCAAAAGTGTGACTTTCGTCAAGATGAAGCTTTCGCGTTCTGTTCGACATGAAAATGGTACTCTATCTGGGTCTTGTGATCCATTTCTCGTCAGAGAGCCGAGAAGATGTGATCTCAACTTACATGTGTGTATACCAAATTGATCAGACGCTTGTAGCAGGACTAATGTTAACGAATCCGCCCACTCTAGCTTCAATGGCGAAGTAACCCATTGAAACTACACTCAGCAGTAGATGACCAATAATGAACGAATATGAGATCATCTATAATTTATAGGTAGACAGGCTTGGAACAAGTCCCCTCGAAACCCGAAAACCAGCCAAGAAATTGCCGAGCACGTCATGGGTATTCCTTGTACCTCGGGATTTTTGAGGAATATAGGATTTATCAGTAAAGCAGTGTATGTGATGATGACCCGAAACAAATAGATTTCAGGTTGCTATCATTCTTCTATATGCTGATTTGCAGTGATCTTGAATGGATTTTAGCAGTTCGAGGAGAGTGACAAATTAATATAATGCTCCCATCACCTACTTTGTGATTTGAATTTAAGCAGCGGACCAATCCACATGGCAAAAGCCACAAATCGCTGATTCTTCTTTCTCTGAAAGACAGATATATATGACAATGGATTAAATAACTTTATCACCGTGTGGTCGTTTTTTACAGAAGTGATTATTTGAAGAAATAACCTATTTCTTGCCGCTTGAGTTTTAGATGTCGATGTGGAGAAAGGAGGGCAATGACCCGAGACTGTTTAAAGAGACATATCATATTCACAAAGAACAAATATATGTGATTGTTTCACATTGATAGAATAGCGCGTAAGTATATGTGTGAAAGCCTCGCATTCGTCTAAATTATTTTACAGTCCGTTCCCATTCGCTCGCATTAAACCCCAGATTCCATTTCGCCCATCAATCTTTCCCTACAATAATAAATCTAAGCACTCTTGCCCTCCTTTCTCAACTGCGCCAAAATGGCCTCTCCTACTCCGCTAGCACTTGCAGGATTCTGTCCTGTGATAATCTTTCCTCCATTTGCCAGTGCAATGTGTGGCGCCCAGTCATCTGACGCCTTTTCGAATTTGCCATTGCTAGCTTCGCCTAAAGCCGTTTCTAGCTCAAAAGGCATGTTTGAAAGACCTATGTATGCTTCCTCCTCGGTATTTGAGAATCCAGTCACCGGGGCGTTTTCAAGCAAAAATTTGCCGGAAGGAAGTTTGGCATATGCAAGGGCTGCAGGGCCGTGACAGACAGCTGCGATAATGCGATCCTTGGAGTGGAATTCAGAAATGATTTTGTGAGATGTTTCGTTGTGTGCAAGATCCCACATTGCTATATATGTTTTAGTAAATTGTGTGCATAGTTTGTGACGTCACTCCATAATTGGCAGAGCGAAAACGGGGGAGTACTTACGACCATGACCACCAGCATAGAAAATAGCATCAAACTCCGAAGCTTTGCCTACGAAGTCCGAAAGGGGTGCAGTATTCTTCCATAGAGATTCTTCATTCTTCAAGAAATTGACAGAGACATCATCCTTGGAAGCTTCAACAGATGCGGGGTCTAAAGGCGCAGCACCACCACTGACAGAGGCGACAGTGATTTGAGCATGAGGAGAGAGAATGTCATATGGGTGAGCAAACTCGGCTGGAAAAGAGGAGAAGTGTTAGCTATATGGTTGTAGAGAGAAGAAAAGATATGGGGTAGATGATATTATGTGGAAGGTGAAGGGAGACGAACAAGATACCAGCCAGTAGGCTTTCCAGTGTTGCCCATCTTATCATGGGAGGTAAGGACGAAGAGAACCTTTGGTTGTTGGGTTTGACAAGACATTTTGCTGTGTATGGTAGATTGAAGTTGGTTGGTAAGTTGTTTGTTCTGGCGTGAGAAGAGTCAAGATATGATTGCAATGAAGATGATGTTATTTGAGTATGAGGATTTCTCCATTTCGAAGAGATTCACTCCTCTTTATACAACTTCCCCTCACGAATTCATTTGATTCACTTGTACCAACTCGTGTGACATGACGTGCCAAAGTTTCGGCGATAAAGGCCACCCGCAGTACCTACAACAAAACCAACAGGTTGGGCTCCTGATTCAATAGATCAAGCTGCACACAATTGCATCCCAAAACGCACATCGCAAAGGTCAATCAACCAAACTGTTGGAGATGACGTGAAACTCTTATCCCTTCTTGGCACCCACATCCGATAATTGGTTAGAAGCTCTATCAAATAGGCTCAATTACCCCTCATTGGCATCAGTGAGAGCCAATCAAATCATCTCCTGGACTCCGGAGTTGACGCTAGACCCACATGATTTATCATATCAATCTAAGCAGCTCGAACCTTAAAATCCGACATGCAAGTCTGAGAAGTAGCTACCTAGTAGTATTGCTTGCTTGCTTGCTTACTTAACCATTTAAACTCCGAATGCTGCTGGATGGCAGAGCGGTGATAATACCTCTGCTTAGGACTTGTGAGACATTGAGCATTCGAGTATTCGATAATTCGAGAATTCGAATGAACGAGAAAGTGGGATTGGTAAAGCACCATATGTCATCTTTCCGAGGGAGCTTCTGGATGCTTCCGACAGTTCTGTCTCGAAATAGAATGCACCCAGTATCTAATCCATACCACACATATATCTTGGGATCGTCTATTCTCGGCAGATCTATGCTGTCATTCAAACTACGATGGCACGCAGATAACCCCGAACGTCAAGGACTATAACGTCTCATTACCCGGCAGGCAAACGTATCACGATATCGAATTTTGCACGCTGTGGTCCGTCTCCCAGCGAGTAAAGTGTAATGGGTTAAATCTGTATGTGGTGTAAGCATTTCACCTGGGAGCACAAAATGCAATCATCGCTCTCGCTATTCCCTAGAGAGAATTATGTACGAAGTGTATCCATACTCTCATTTAAATAAACCCCGAAAGAGCATTTTTGATTTGTAGGTGGAGAATCCAGAATGTAACCTTATTAATGTACGACGGTTATGTAGCTTCATTTCCCTTCATTCCATCATTCATTTTCCACATTCCGATCAATTTGAGAGAAATGCCATCGCCTTATTTACCATTCCACCGACAATCGCGTCTCATTACTTCCTATTCCCATCCCTCTATGTTTCCTAGTTGTTTATCTTCTCGTTGGTTACTTCCTTGGCCTCTGCCTTCTTGGCTGATAGAAATTGACTCAGCCATTGAAAGGCCTCACTTGATACGATCAATCCTGTGCTGACGACTGCCTTTCCGTAGCCGAAATAACCCTGATCTTCCGTCTTCTTGACCTCGCTGTTGTATTTTCCCAACACATACTCCTTTCCCTCGTTACTTTTTGTTATCGGATAGAACACAAAGTATTTTCCATCACTATAGAGTTCGCCTGTAGGTTTCTTGACGGCAGGAAATTTCGATTCAATGGTGGACAGGGTAGAGTCGCCAAGCTCATCGGCTTTCGCGACGTAAGGAGATACATATTGGTAGGGTTTTTGGAGGTATGGAATGATTGGTTTGCCAAACTTCTCGTAAGAGGTTGCGGTCAGGTCGATGGATCTTTGGCCATAGGGGTTAGACTTGAAGGTAGAGATGGAGTCGTGGATGAGAGGGTAAGATGTGAGATGCTGAATTTTTCATAAACGTCAGTATCATGGCTTGAAACGAACTCATGATTTGGTGGGATAACTCACATCGAGGAAGACGGATGAGGGAGTCTCGCCGTTTACTTGAGGTGCCATTCTTTCTCAGACGTGTAGGACAAACGTGGTATTATATGTGACTCTTGATGGGTACGATGTTAGCTGGGTCCTGGATTCTATGCCACCATGATATCGCTTGTTCTAGATCAGAGCTTTATGGTCGTGCCTTGCAGAAGGCGGCAATGGCAAGCAGGAGTATACATACTAGTTGCTTGGTATCTGACAATTCGTTCCTGGATGGAAATATGACTAGTATGAACCTTTGAGTGAGATGGGTGCGAGATGGTGGTCAGAAGATTGAAAGTAAGTTGTTGGTCAATGAAAGATGTGTGGTGTCTAAGGTTAATAAGTGATGGAGGAGCAAGAACTATGGGTAAAGTTTAATGCGCCACCAGTCTGGATTTTTTCCAAGAGAAGTTGATACAATAATAACAAGATGAGATATGTGAATTTGCATGTGCTCAACGCATTCCCTGATCTGATTGCAAACGGGTTTTAACCCGGTCTATTTGAGGATTGATTGGATATATTCAGCCCAGGGGCTAAATAAGCTATTGGGATTGGCATATGATAGAGTTTTTTGTTTTTCTTTTCTTTTCTTTTCTTTTCTTTTCTTTTCGTTCCTTTCTTTGTTTCTCTTTCTCTTTTAGGGGAGGGTGGATGACGGTGCAGAAGATGTTGTCAAGTGGATTGAACTGGATTGGACTGGGTTGGCTTGGATTGGATTGGATTGGATTGGACTGAATTGGATTGGATTGATTGATAGAAAGTCAGAAAGCGATAGTGGAATGATGAATGGTGTGGCTCGGGTGGCCCGTGTGAATTAGGTAAACTTGTTTAATCCAATGCCAAGAAGCATGTGAAAGTGTAATTCCATCAGTACGTACCTGGACTCCTCGATCGTACCCGTACCTAGTAGATCAAGATCAAAAGCTATGTAATCTCTGACCTACCTACTCGTAGTGCAACATTCCTCAATTTGATATTATAAAGGGGAAGGAGGCTACGAGAGAGGTCTCCTTCATGACCGGCCTAGGTATCAATGGCTTGATGTTGTGTATTTTGCTTGAACACGGTCAACTTTACCTGAGAGACAGCCATGTGAAGAAGTAGTCATTCTTAAATGTCTTATCTCTCTTATCGCCCGCTAAAAGTTTCCCATCGAGTCTATCTTTTCTTTTGACCAATACGGCACACATGTAGGATGATCTTAAGTGTGTGAATCTCTTCCGTTCTTATGAATACCAGATACCAATGACGAACCCGCTTTGCCATACATATATCATATATCGTATATCAATTACCATATGTCATATATCAGAAACTCTTGCAAGATACGCTCATGAGATTCGACCTAGATGGTGCTTCTTCTTTATCAAACCTCCACCTCTCTCCTGGAGGACACCAGGTACATCTGCGAGACCTTTGATGTGTAAGGACCAACATGAAATCTAAACCCTACGCGGATCATCTTAAAGACCCAAGGATTATGTATGATTTCTACTCTGTAGGAAATATCATGTACATTGAACCCTTGATCTCCTGCCTATTTGTATCATACGATATACATCAGTGCCAACTAGATGTGGCTGGGTATACATGATGATACACCACCCCTTTGTATTTTGTTTCAATATTGTGCGTCCTATCCCAATTGAAGCCGAGCTTCGTATCGCTGGATGGAAGGATCCGTCTTACGCATGGCGAAACTTAACTTGGACCAACTACGCTATGAAGTTTTGACATGTGAAGCTGTGCTTACACTATGGGAGGAAGATAGATGACTTGAGTCTAGACTGCAGGAATGACTACACACATGCATCACTAGGGAGTTCTTGTATATTTAGTAACCAATATTACGACTTTTTCTACGTTGATTACTCGTAGATCTAGAATGAATCAGGTCACCGGCTTTAGACATTCTCTTTAGCCTCTAATGAAATATTCGACGTCGAATCATATAGCTCTTCCGGGTACATATATCTTTGTATAGAAAAGCTAAAATTGTTAGAAGAGAGTTAAAGACTCGGCTGGGCCAGCTCTGCGTTGGGAAAAGAGCTTGTATCTTTGCATCGATACATAGCACTCGCTTTTCCTAACAAAGAGACAAGTTGAACTCTCTGAACACCTCTTTTCCACAGTCTCTTACGTACTCTCAATCACATCATACCGCCGAGACCGAATGATTCAACCAATGCATTGCCACGTCTGATATGACTGACACTACAGGTCTCAATTAGCGATTTCGGAAAGCTCTGTTCTCTTATGGTCACCGCCGTGGTGCCGACTTCCTCCAGATTCAGCAACATTATCATTTTGCAATTTTGTGAAATAGACGTATCCTGCTATAACCGGAGTGCTTCATTGCTCTAATATTCTTGCAAGAGTTGCAAACGACTGATCGTATCATTATTCCACCACGCCTTCAAACTCAACGCGCTGGCTACAATCTACGTATCCCTCATCGTTTTAATCTTTTTTCGTGCTTCCTCATTAGCTGGCATGGATCGTTTTCTTGGAATATCGTCATTTGCAGCTAGCGTCGGCTCGGCATCCATTTCAGATCCATCTTTGACAACCGGCTCGGTATCCCACTGCTGGGCCGCCACAGAAACGGAACCTGCTACACGGCCGGTAACTTGTGCTCTTTTGCTCGTGGCTCGGAATGAGCATATCGCATGTCTATTTAGCGCCATATAGTATTCTGACTCTTCTTCTGTGTGGTTTGATGAGCGCCAAGGTCGAGGTTCTCCGGGAACTGTAGCTTGATCAGTATCAAAGTGAATGATGAGCCCAAGACTCTACATACATAAATGTATCCAAGCCCAACTTTCGACCAACCAGGGTTGATCGGGGCATGCGATATCACAAAAACATAGATCATAACCTTCCCCGGGATATCTTTCCTGGTATCTTTCCTGCATCTCTTTCAAGACATTGTTGACTTCTTCATCTGTGTAGCCGTGTTGTGAGCTTGTTGCTTTGGCCAGAATCTCATCGTAAATGCTTTCGTATGATAGTCTCATCATTCCTTGGTTGTTTTGCATCATGGCAATATGCTCAAAATATAGAGAATCCGAGTTGTGACAAACAACAGTGTTTTGACGTGGAACTTCAAGTTGTGTGGTGTGTATGTATTTGAGGAAAAGAAGGAGTCAAGTGGCAGATAAATGAACGTGGAATTTTCAAAAGTGAGGAAGCTGAGGATGATTGTCATTCACTGGATGAATTCAAGATGAAGTACAGCACTTATGTTCAATTGTGCTGTATGTATCTAGTGCTGTATTGTTCTATCATATCAATCGATGGCTTTGCGATTCAAAGCTTTGAATCCATTCTAGAGATAGGTATCTTGTCTTCGCTCAGAATCAGAACTACACACCTCGTCAAAACATACATAGTAAGTAAGGCAAAGTATCTCGCCATGTTGCCTACATCAAATGACCTACTGATACTAATAAATTGGGTGGCCTTGATAATCTCTCCATTTCATCCTGCTTCCAGCTGCAAACACCAACGTTGTAAATCACAATACCTTTCAGTTGTACGTCATTCCCTCATTTATATCTTCGCATTTATCTGTGTCTTCTATGTATCCACCATTCTAATTCTTATTCAGATCGCTTCCCATCTTCCCTACGTTCACATGAGTTTAGTAAGGTCGGGAAGTTGGCAGTGTTGTAACCTTTTCGAGATAACGTGAATTAAAAGAAAGTAAACTACCACTGATTCTCCAAACACGGGCACCCGTCTAGTCAGGCATAAGTCATGAAACAGGGAAGGTATCAAGCAAGCCAATATCAATTCTATAGATTGAAGTTCCAATATGCTCAGGTTTGGCGCATAACATGCGTGAGATAAAACTTTAGAAGTATGGTCACTACTATCCATGGGGGTTTTAGTGGATAAGGCGATCGGTTCGCGACTTTGGATAGGTACTGGAAAGTCGTTGGAAGAACCGGAAGAGGTATCGATAATTCATGTTCTGTTGGACCGTGACGATTCACCCATGACTCTGAACTCGGAAGTTTGAATGGCAGCATCCTTCTCGGCAGGGCATCCTCTCTATTGAGCTGTGTGAATGCAGGCAGGCTCTTGGAACTTACCTGGGTATGATGTTATTGGCAGAATTTGTGAAAGTTTCTGTGTCGTTTCTTCGCCAAGTCTCGGTTTAATAAGTTGATCAATAATAAGATGGTATTTGAAGCTTTGAGTTGCTTTTTTGAATCAGCTCGAATATTTTTAGGTCCTTCCCCTTTTGCTTGGTCATTGCAATCTCCACACTTGAAATTGAGGCAATTTTCATCTCCTTCTCAACGTAGTCTTTTATCAGGAGTCTATGAAGCTACAAGTGAACTGACCGTTTTTCAATAACCACCAAGATCTGTTTTGGGGCATGCTTCTCGAACGCCTACATAATAGATTGAAACCTCCGACGTTCTACCATTCTGCGCCTTTCTAAAGAGGAATACCGACATAACTTTACCCAAATTCCCACCTCGAGGTTGACACTTAGATATTCAAAAGTTGCTCGTCGGTGCAAGTATATACTTCACTGGTCCTTTTTTGGAAACGTTGCTTTTTCAACTGTTATATCTTGACAGTATATCGAAAGAGCGATCAGATAAAAGAAAAACGTTTGAGCCGCAGATGTGGTCTATAAGACTTGACATACGTTTACCTCATATTGTCTTGGTTGTTTTAGAAAGTTGCCAGCTGAGGACAAAACTTATACCAGCATAAATGGGGATAAAAAACCCCTGAAAGGCTTTTTTCGTCCTCCAGCCATCCGAGGTATTAGGTGCATACCAACGACCAATTCACTGTTTGGCCTTACAAACATAGTCCAGAGATTCGTCGTTTCCACGCAGGTTCTATCTCTAGCAAGCCTTTTCTATTGACAAAATTTTATTCGACGTGAATAATACGGTACAAGTCTTCACTGAATTAAAGCACCAAATAATTGATAGACTCGTACCATTATAGATTTCATTTGCCAAGCGAGGGAATATTTGTCTCGAAGAGCGAGTTGATCTATATGTCGATATGTATTTCGACAATAAAATGCTGGCAACGAGGTTCTAATGCAGAAACCTTTCAAAAAAAAACTGAACTTATGTAGAGCGTACTTCCGCCTTGGATTTGAACTATGATAATACAATCTATCCAGTTTAATCTATCTTCCCGGGGTATTATTAAAAAGAAATCCTGATTCGACTCCACTTCTCATTTGCGACTCCTGTTGACACCCCCTTTAACTTCTCTATTACCATTGTCAGTTCCGCCCCTTGACTTCTCTGGCTCAGTACCAGTATCTGGTGTCATTTCGAAGGTTACTTTCTTATCCTTTTTCCCATTCTTCTTCCCATTCTCGCACAGCCCCAAAATTGAGCGAGCCTTAAAGACCGCGAGCCAAACACCATAAACTATGCTTACAATCGCCGTGATGAAATCCAAAATATGCACGAACCACCAAATATGCTGAGTACCCAATCCACAATTTACAAATTCAAATTGCCATTCCCAACTTTCTTCGTCGAACCATAAACTCAGTAACCCCGCATTTCCAGCAAAATCCCCCATCATGCTCCGTACAGTTACTTCACGCAGTCCGGGTTATACCCTGATTGATTCACTAGATGTTTGGCTTCTGGGTATCTATCGCACCTCCACTCTCTGTCCTCTTCATGGTAAGCTTTGGTTTGATGAAGTGATAGATATCACAACCTTCGTGATCGTGGCCGGTTAGAATAATACCATGTCTTCCCATGCCTTGCCCGTCCACATGCGCACTACCGCTCATGCCAAATACACCTTCTAGCATACCTTTAGAGGCATCGCGGGAGAGGTGGTTTTGTTCCTTAACTCCATTCTCGAATTCTCCATCGAAGAAGTCAAAGAACGGTCCATCTACACAGATCCCTTCGTCTTTATATAATGGGATATGAGTGAGGACTAATGTAAAAAGTGCGGATCGCTCAACGGCGTGAGAAGTACTTATCAAATCATTAAGAATTGATATGACTCGTCTTGAAGGTCTTGTCCGACACGGGCGTATCGAGATTCATGTCATTAAGGATCATAATCCTAATTTCGGGAATATCCCTCCCATCCGTCTGGATGCCTGTCGTAGAAATTGAAGAAGCATTATGGTTGGAAGGTAGCTGAAATCGAAGTTCGTAATTCGCTTTCCCAAAAACGCGCTCAAATCGAGCTAGTCGATCCTTTGAGATATCTCCGGCATACCCAACATCATGATTACCTGCCACGTTTATAATCCTCTTCTTCCATGCCGCAGCATCATCCCCCAGCATTATTGTATTCTGAAAGTCGAAAGCGGGCGGCGACATAATCTCGTCCGGAATCCGTTCTCCATGTTTGAATACCCGATTCCAATACCTTCGCCCACGTTCCTCGAATTCTTCATCATCTATCCATTGACTCCCCACAAGATCTCCAAGTACAGTAACATGTGTAGGGTCCAACCACCAGTGCGTTGCGCGGTAGATATGTCCCAAGTAATAATCATTACCAATGTGGTCAAATCGTTTGCGATAGACTTCGAAAGCCTTAGGAAGGTCGTCGAGCCAGAAATCTACTATATCATGGAGGCTGTGTCGCGCACGCTGTAGAAGGCTATGTTTCGTGCCGCTGACGATTCCTGATCTTCAAGAATTTCTTCAAATTTGGCAAATTGACAGAATCGATATCTCGTATGGATGATTCACCCTCGAGTTGAGGATCCCCCAAAGCGAGGAGCCTGAACGGTGCTACCTTGCTGGGATCATACAAATTTGGAAGCGTGTGTTGACGAAGTGTATTGACGTATGCTTCTGAAGCATCGTATTCAGGAGAAGGAAAAGCGCAACCATGGAATGCAGGGTACAAATAAAGATAAGAGGTGAAAGTCAAAGAGAGAGGCACAAGAAGAAAGAGTGCATAACGAAGCACCGATATTAAAAACATAAAGAAGGTAGCATTTGAGCACAGCACACAATGAATCTGGCAGTAGAGACTGAAATAGTATGGGAGAGATATGCAAAGTGATGGTGGTAAAGAAAAAGAGAAAAGGAGACAAGGAGAATAGGAGTATATTTTTCAAATATCTCTCCTTCTTCTTCTTCCGTCCGATGAATTTCATCAACCCACGCAGATTTGGCAGTTGAACAAATTACTGGCCAGAACCCAAACAAGGGCTGGCGGGCTAAGAAGGGTCCGAGCTCTGAGAAATCTCTCATATCACGTGAGAGTAGTAGTAAGCACGGTAAAATGTCACGGATGTCTCGAGAATGGCAAGAATTGGGCACTCTCGAGGCATTCTCGAGGCCACTCTTGAATTCTGCCCCGCAAAAGAATGGAACATGGAGGAGAATGACCGAATGATCAACGCTAAGCCCTCCACGGTGATCCTCTACCCGATGTTAGCACGCCGGCCTGAATCATCCTTCCGGCTTTCCACATGTTCGGGAAGGGAACTTTGATTGGAATTCATGCTAAGCCTTAATATCTCTAACGTGTCTTGGTTTACTTTGACTTTACTGCCCCCGCTACGTTTGAAAAGCTGGTGAAGGCAACAGAATACCAGCGAATAGAGTTGATGGTCTCGATGGAGGAGAAGCTTTATTAAGCATTTTCCAAGCATTTCGTTAAGTATCATCTGACAGTCATCGGAATTGATTTTACGACAGACTTTGACTACATCAATGTTAAGGCGTGAGATACACCTCCGGCCTTCCTTCTAGAAAGCTTCTAGCGTCATAGTCAGGGCGATCTTCTCTTCCTGTCATTCTGCACAGTACATCTCAGCCTCACTACTAAGATGTAATATCGTTGCATTCCGTTGCATACTGACTACCTACGCATGCACAGAACATTTCCACCTCATGAATGCGATCAACTAATCCATTCATAATATATGGTAGGTGAATCTCCTTGTCCACTCCTTATATCAATCTTTCCTTTACCAACTTTATTTTTCACAATTACCATAACGAATCATAAAGTTGCAACTCGTACGATTTATACTAGGTTTCCCCACCTAAGACACAATCTTCCTTACTTCCTCTGGATGGAGTAGAGAACCATTCATCACACTATGCCTCTGCCTCGATAAAAATTACTCAATAAGGGAGGCCAAGAAAAGTCTCCCGAGGAAGACGTCCCTTCCGCTCATGTCGAGCACCCACCTTCACCACTGTCTCCTAGTTCCTCTGCCATAATAAACGAAGCACCGCCAGGTTACACAGCTTCGATAGTCCCGCCGAATCAGATCTGACAGCTGCCTTTTCCAATCTCAATGTCTCGGAATCAAGTATTCCTGCTTTTCCAAATGAAGATCTATGTCTTGCACATCTCAAGTTATTAAGAACTTTTCATATTCTCAAACAAGATGTCGGCTATACCGATGGATTATTTGGTCTATGGGATGCACGTTGCGAACTCCGGTCGTCAAGAACCGTGACAAAGCATTAGTAGCGAGCGCATGGAGGAAAAGAGATGGTCTCTGTATATGCGAGAGAGCGGTAGAGAGATTTGAGGATTGGTGGTTGAAGGTATTGTGTGAGCAAGAGAATGCCACTAGGTTGCGGCGAAACTACATGAAGGCTCACACGGGCTTCATCGATTTTCCGAAGAAGGGTGTAGCTAAGGTTTGGAGCACGTCAATGTTGCCCCCCATAGGTGTGTTCTACTTTCAAAATTTACACTCATGCAAAGTATGTCCTAATATTGAAACAAGATGTTCTCATGGTATGGCATTCATTGATGCTCAACCCTCGAAACTACCTGGAAGACTGTATGCGTTTTGGTTTGAAAGATTTATGGGCAACAGGCATGCCCTGGCATGCTGTTGATGCAGCTATTGATACTAGCTTCGATTATCAAGTAACAGAAGCAGCCAAAGAAAGATTCACGAATGCCACAGGGCATCATTGGAGCAATGCCAATGATCATGCAGCAAAGACACTAATTTGCCCGCGGTGTTTCCAGGTATTGGAAATTCCATGGACTACATGCGCTGCAAATGAAAAGCCATCACTGCAAGAGTATGAAACTCGTTCTAGTCTGTTGGAAATTGTTGCTAATATCAATAGAATTATGGACATGAATGGTACAGGTTATGGAGATCGAGATTTTTCACACATTTGCCACAAATGTGGTGGTCAGATCGATCACGATCTATTGCGAGTTGCCAAGTTTAAGAGAGAGGTCGAAAATCTGATCATGGAGAGACTCTCTCTAGGGGGAACAAATTCTATCTCCGAGTTACTGGCATTCCGGATGCCCCAGATCCAAAATCTGGTTCCTTGCACCAAAATGCATTCCCCAATCGTATGATTACTATTGAGCTGAAGGTAAAAATACTAGAACTAATTGACAAAAAGCCTACAAAAAAGCCCGCTATGACTGATGTTAGGGATCTTATCGAGGGAGTATTCAGAAGTAAATCAGCCCTAAAGAAAATCAACAATGGGAGGAGCACTTTGCTACGAGCAGAGTGCCTTTCAGTTCGAACGATGATGTCGAGATATTGGCAAAATTCTTCAATATTCGCGCTTGAAACTTGGAGGGCTGTAATTCGTCAGAGTGTGTTTGTCGATAGAATGGCAAGTCTTGACTGGCTTCGTTCCCCGGCTGCTCGAGAGACGATGGGTCGATTACTTACAAAGTATGAAAGATTCATTGAAATTATGCGTCTCCATCCAAAAGAGGTTTGTGTTCCAACCTTGGATGTTGATTTGGCATGGCATACTCATCAATTATCGCCAAAACAATACTACGAGTATACGTTCTCAAAATGCCTGAAATTCATCGACCATGATGATAAGATGGAAGAAGATGCTCTCTCTACTGCCTTCGAATGGACAAGTAAGACCTATGAGAGACTCTATAGGCAAGTGTATTCTGAATGCACTTGTTGGTACTGCGAGGGTAATGTCTGTCCTCTCTCCACCCAGTGCATGCTAATATTTTTCAGCCATTCGCTCCAAGCATATTGATTCGTCAAGCCGTGTATTCGGAACCTCCAAGCACGAAAAGGTTCTGGACGCTTTCTATACATCTGGAGCAGCAGGACAAGTAAGTAAACTGATAAGGAACTCACTAGTTTCTTTGTTTTCACTGCCTGTTTTTATTCTTCGATTATACGTTCCACTAAATAGTACCACCCCATGTACTCCTTTTATTTCCACGTGTAGCATGATGCCTCGTCTTTCTTTCGAATTTTATTCTTGATGGGCAATACTGATCCCAAGTCTTACAGTGTGACCCACAATAGCGCACCACATCAGCGCGCACTCCGCTGTTCGAGTCGAAGAGTCCGAGCCCCGTGCTTCAGTCTTCGATAGACTTAGCCAAAGAAATAAATCGGAAATTAATCGCGCCTACGACAAAGCTCGTCAAAGAGCTGAACAGAAGGGAAGAACTATCCCTCCTAGAAGATGATTAGGTATACCACGGCTTGGGGTTATCCATATATGATGTATGGACCGTACATGAGTCCGATGTACGCCGGTGCTCCGATTTACTATGCAGGGGATCCGTGCGCGATGCCTGTTGGTGTGGGTATGGCCGGAGCGTGTGCAGCAGGATCTTGTGGAGGTACTGTTGCAGCTGGTGGATGTGGCGGCGCTGGTGGATGTGGTGGAGGTGGTGGAGGTGGTGGTGCAGGTGGTGCAATAGGAGGTAGTGGCGGATGTGGAGGTGGCGGAAGTGGCGGAGGAGGCGGGGGTTGCGGTGGAGGGGGTGGTGGTTGTGGCGGTGGCGGTGGAGGGTGTTAAACACCATTTTGCTACTCGGCGATGATTCGAAATGAGACGACACGCGCTTATGATGTCATGATGGGTTTGGCTTTGAGATATGAACTACTCTTATATTGTTATCTTCCTAACCTCACTTCCTTATACAATCCTTGTTTTCCTCTCTAGCCTTCTATTATTTCAGGCTTGGTAATTTTGTTAAGATAGCTACGTATGAAAACACTCTTTAATACATTCAATGAATATCATACATCTCGTATTTCACCTCAGGACAAGAGCGATTTGATCAAACAAAAGCCTAAACTATACATGTCATACTCCATATCGGAATAACAAGTGTATTACTCACTGTACACTAATTGGAATTTTCCACTCTTGAAATATTGATATCTGATCTTTAAATGTCTTTATCATCGTCTTTGAATCAAATCAATTAACAGTACAAATATTAAAGTGACTAAGCAAATATAAAGGCATTATTTAAATTAGATTTAACATTCAAAGTATATATTTCTTAGTTATATGATTCGTATTTAAGATCTTGTAATAATATCTTCTAGATTAGTATATTAATAGATTTAGAGGATTAACCAAAATGGATTTATATTACATTATGTTAATAATAATAATCTATAATTATATCATCTTTATAATATAAGTATGAGTTATTATTAATACTAAAACAAATTACTTTATTTAAATAGAAAATAGAAAAATGTATAGAAGCCTACAAAACTATTTTAATTTAACGTATAATCTTAAAAGAATCAAAGAGATTATTTAAAAAAACAAGTAGTTGAAATAAATCAATCCAAACCTTTTAAATTATACAATTGATTATAGAATAAGCTCTATTAAATCAATAGAATCAATTAATCAGATAAAAATATATATAAATAAAGATAAATTTAATAATACATCTATAAACAGATATAGATCAATACGATATTTAGAAAATCGAGATATCTTTATATTTTTTATTTTGTTTTTATTAGAATAACTCTCTACTTTTCTTTAACCCTTTTCATTTAAATTCAATAATTGGTTTTATAAAAATTTTATTGAATAATAAATTAAAGAATTCAAATTATTATTTTAATATATAAAACTTTAGATTTATATATTTATTAAACTTATAATTCTTAATCAATATCAATAAATCGTATATAGTTGAGAAACTAGTCGTTAAAGAAAAAGAATTCTCGGGCTATGAATTCGTAGATTTTTTTCGATTTTTTTTAATTATCATAAAAATATTAAAATCCTTTAGATTCTCAAGCTTTAATTTCTTTTTTTTCGACAACTAATACTAATGTATTATATAAACTAGATTACTAATTAAAATTTTGATGATAAGAATAATATAGGAATATTGAATATTATATGGCAAGAGCATAACTTCAACGATTAAGGATATTCTAAACTTTCGATTTTTTATATTTGAAGTTGAATTTTTTTATTGAATCTTTTATTATATGAGTTGAGTTTATTAGATTTATTGAGTTTAATAGTTTCTGAAATATATTAGATTTATTATTATTTTTAAAAAATTTAAATGAATTAAAGTTTATTAGATATATTAAATTGAATTAGATTTTTTTAGATTCTTTCGGATTTTTTGAATTTAATTAGATTTTTCAAATGTTTATAAATTTTATTAGATTTATTAAAAGAATTTAAATTTTTCAAGTTTCTTAAATTCTTAAAAAATTTTGAGATTCTTCGAATTTAATCAAATTTTTTAAATTTATCAAATTTCTTTTAGATGTTTGAAATTTTTGGATTATATTAGATTTATTGGAATTGTTATAACTAATTGATTTATTAAATTTATTAAATTTATTAGAGTTATTGGATTTATTAGATCTTTTAATAAAATTGATTAGAATATAATATGATAGAATTATAATATTATTACAATTCGAATAATACTTTAATAATTCTAATATTAACAAACTAATATTTAAATAATACTCAAACCTTTAAACAATACTAATACTATACTTAATTAGAAACTTTGAGAAACAATCTTTTGATCAAATTATATTAAAGTTGATGCTTATTTAATCATATAATATAAAATATTAGAAGATTGGGTGGAAGAGGCCTCTATATTGACTATATTACAATATGTATTGATCTTGATCCCCATATTATAGGGAATCAATATACTTGCCTTGCCTGGTTTAATCTAATAGGCTTAAGTAACCATATTACTAATCTCATTATATGCTTAGTACTAATAACTTCTATTCCTTTTAATATTCCCTTATAAAAATTACCACTCTTCTCAATCTCCACTCTTCTGATTCTCTAATGCTTTTACCTTAATTCTAGTATACTCTTGAATCTTTTGAATATAACTTTTCCTAGTAGTTTGGTTATCCCATTTATTACCATATCCGAGATATTGATATAATTGATTATAATCTTTTTTTTCTCAATAAAATCTCTAATAAAGTAATAGTATATATTAATATACTTTGATCATTTATATAAATATGGATTTTTGATTAAAGTTATTGCTTCTTGATTATCATTTAGTAATTGAATAATATCTTCTTGTATTGATATATATTCTGTTTTTTCTAAATCTTTAAATATTTAAACTAGTTATCTCTCTTATTTAGTAAATATTACTATTGATATATATTCAAATTCAGTATTTGATATTACTATTGAATTCTATTTCTTGTTAATCTATAAGATTAATTCTTTATAGAATATAACAACTCCTTTAGAGATACTTTTTCGATTATATTAATCACTTGTTCAATTTGTATCAGTAAAGACTTTTATAATATTTATTAATAAATTGTATTCTTTTACAATTTGATATTATATTCCCTTAGATCTATATTTGAGCTTCTAAATAATAATTGATTTTAGATATCTTATTAAATTCTTTACTTTTATTTTGTAGCACTTTACTGATTTTGCTATATATTATAATAGTTAGTTTAGTATAAATAAGATATCTGGTTATATATATATTATTAAATGAATAAGACTGTTTATCGCTTATTGATATTCAGTTATATTAATTAATTTATTATTTTCTATAATAGATTATAGATATAAATAATCCACAATAGGTACCTTCTTAGTATAATACTAAGCGTATAAGATTCCGAACTTTTTGAGCATTGCTTTCAGATATTCTTTTTAGTTTAGTATAAGTGATCTGTTTATTCAATCTTTTATAATCCTAATACCTAGAATCTTATTTATCTTTTCCAGATTTTTGATATTGAAATGTAAAGAAAGTGTTATAAAGAATTAGGTGAGTTGATTTTTTGAGATTGAGAAAGCAATTATATTATTAATGTATATAAGTAGATTGATTTGTTGAGCTGTATATATATAAAGATATAGATTAGTAAGACTTTATTTGAAATTCTATTTGATTAGTTTTAATTTCAAAAGCTGATTCCAATTCTATTTAGCTTATTTAAGATTATATAAACTTCTCAATACTTGTAAGATATATTTGTTCGATATATTTACCCCTTGAGATAATGTAAGGTATATTTCTTTTTTAAGCTGGGATTCTATAAAAGCGTTCTTTATATCAAATTATTAGTATTCTAAATTTTCTTTTATAGTAATCGCTAGGAACAAATAGAGTATATCAAGTTATATTATAAAAGTAAAGGTTTTATTATAATTTTTTCTTAGGATCTAATTAAATCCTTTTATTATTAATTGTATTTTGAATTTTTTGATCTCGTTATTCTTTATTTTTATTGTGAAGATCTATCTTGTAAAGATAAGATTTCCTTTCTTTAATAGAATATACTTTTTTCAAATATTATTTGTAATCAATAAACTAATCTCCTTTTCAGTAATTTGTTTCTATTTCTTTTTATATTTAGGATCCGAAATTGTTTAATGATATATAGTGGGGATAGGAATCCCAAAGATTTATTTTATAGAGAATACTTAGTTTTTATTTACCAAGCTCTTCAAGATTATTTAAAGATTTTTAATTAATTTGATTTTAATATTCAAATTAATATTAGAAATAAAAAGTATAGAAATTATTATATATTTAATAGAGTTTCTATCTGAGTTAGATGATAATATTGCTATTATTACCTTTATGAATTTCTGAATATATTTGTTTGATTTATCATTATTCTATTTGTATTTTTGAAAAAAGTATTTTTCAGGAGGATTTATATTTATAAATATTATCAGGATTTCGATTGGTGATTGATCTGTTATAAATACGATATCTGGTATTTCTATCTCTTTTATTTCTAGGAATAGTATAAAATCTACAGATAGATTTATCTCAATAATATTCTTTTCACTGTTTTTATTAAATCTTTGAATATTATTAACCTTAAGTATATTAGGGATTATTATTTTTAATAATTTGAATTTAGAGGTGATAGTATTTTGTAAAGGTTTTAAAAGTAATTCTTATATTTTATATAATCTATTTCTAAATTGTTTATTTAATATAATATTTTCTGTACCTTGAGATTCTGATACTGAATTTCTTATTTTCAAATTTATATCTCCTTTTTTCTTGATTTTATTTATAATTACTCAGCTTGTTCATATAGTATAGCCTAGTTTAGATAAGTATACTTTTGTATATTTATTAGTAATATATAAGTATTCTATAAAGATACCCATTTGCACTATATTTTGTAATTTATTATATCATTAATCCTTTAGAATTGTTTTTGGATTGATATATATATAATACTTGCTTCCCTATATCCTATAGTGACTAATATCTGGGGTTAATCTTATAAAGGCTTTAATTGGGCTAATTATATTGTTATTAATAATTAGTTCAGTATTGATTCTATTTCTGTATTATATATTATATTCAATAGCTTCATTCCAGAATTCTAATAGTAATTTAGCCTCTTTCAGTATTGCTTTTATATTGGCTTCAGTAGTATTGATATTTCTTTCTATAGCTCCGTTCTAATAAGATAATATTATAATAATCAATTCTAATCAAGTTCTGGAATTCCATTCCTTGATAGTTTGGATTAGTT